TCAGCCAAGTACAGTTTCTCTGCGTATCATGACCACACACTGCCCACTCCAAGCTGACACACCTCAAACGGACACTCTGAAACTGAAACCGCCATCTGTTCTTCTGTTCGTTTGGACCCTCTGCTTGGACAATTCTGTGAGTTATTTATATATCATTCTGTAAAGTACGTGGGACTTGAGTATTTATATATTAGAAATTAAGACTGGAATAAAAGATTGTGTGTTTTCCCAGTTTATGACTACCAAGCGACTCGGAAGTATTCAGTAAACTACCACTGATAAAGTGATGTAACCTGTGAATTTATCATTATTCAATAAATTTTGACATCATGGAAAGACATAAATGTGTTTTGTCTATGTTAATGACACAGCAGGCCCACAACAGGCACAGGAGTCAATTCTCCACCCACTCTGCTGCCCTCAACCACAGCTTTCCTGGGCTTAGTCCCTGCGTGGATTCATACCTGCCTGTTGGATTCCTGAACCCCTTTCAGCTGGTCACTTGAGCTGCCAGACTCAAAGGGAGAAGCAAAATGGGCTACCCTTCACTTTTTTCCAACTTGAATCCCCCTGGGTAAAATATTTTCTGTGCCTGTTTCACTCATATTCTGCTAGGTACATCCTAGGTCATGTGGTAGGTGCTCATGAGGACAGTGTGGCAATGTTTGCTATGACCTTCCAGCTCTCATGGCAGCAGCCACAGTGAAACCACCTTCAGATGGCTCCTGTCTCAGCTCTACGTGACCAGTTGAGAAACAGAGTACTTTTCATACACCAGTGCACAGTGCAGCCTCTGGATCAGCTACGTTTAGGCTGTTCTGATGTACAGGTTTTTCTGTATCAAACCTGTTCATCACATTTCTCTGTGTTTTCCCACCCCTCTGTAGTGATCCAGTACCTCTGCTGCTGCCACAACCGGCTTGGATCCAATGTACTCTTTCTTCTTTGTTCATTGCACCTGAATTTCTGAGACCACAAGATTCTCTGACGGTCCAACACTGAATTTTGTGAAATTCTTCTTTCACCTACTTCACTGAGAAGCAGTACTCCTGCTTCTTGAATCCTGAGCCCTGGAGTAACTAGAAATGCAGGTTACTTCTAATCCTTCATCGTGAATCTCCCCAGAATAGATTCTTAACCAAACTTTCTGCAAAGTAGGAAGAGAAAACCATATGATGGGATTTCAACTTTTAGGAATAAGCTCACTAATAATAATCCACTTGTAATATCCAAAGCCTGAGTGTATGCAGTCGTGTGTCACTAAATGACAGGATGACATTCTGAGAAGTTCACTGATAAGCAATGTTATTGTGGGAACATCAGAGAGTGTACTTACACACTATCACTGCGTGTGGCCTCCTAATGCAATACAGAGACACTAAACACAAGATGCATGAGGCTGCTACCCATATATGATAATGATAAATACCTAATGCAGTGATGGTCATTTATAATGTATTGTACACTGTTCATTCTCATATGTGCTAAAACTGTGTATGACTAGTAGCACAGGTTTGTTTACACCAGTACCACCACATACACATGAGTAATGCACAGCGTGACAAATGACAGCTGCAATGTCACTAGGCAATGGGAATTTTTCAGCTCTACTGTAGTCTTGAGAGACCACTATTGCACAGGCAATTCCTTATTGACTGAAACATTGCATGGCATGTGACTATATATGTCTGTTTATATGTAACATTTTGAGAGTTGGCTGTCCTTTCCATTTCATAATCTCCTACATTTACTGTTTTAAAGAAATATAGCACAGAACAGCACACAAATCATAAGTGCACAGCTCAATGAATTTTCGAAACTCAACAGGTGCAGCCTATCTTCCCTAAGTTTACTTTCCAAGGCAGCATTTAGAATTTAGAATCTAAGTTGGATATCTGCCAGAAGCAATAGTAAAATAATGTTTATTTTCCAACCTAAAGAATAGAAAAAAAAGGGATAAGCCTTGAGGCTTGAGAGGAACATTTTAAAAGATTATCTTTATTTAGGTTTCTGATTCAACACATGTGTCAAAGACTAATAAACATAAAGTAAATAAGACATTAACTGGAAGTCTTACATCTTTCTAAACTCCGTCCAAGAATTCAAGATTGCCACTATTACCAGAATCCCAATGTAATCAAATTGTAGACAAGCCGCCTCAAGCATCATGGTATGTGCATGGATATGGAGAGGGAAAAGGCATGCTAGCTGGCTCTCCTCTTTCCCCTGTTGACCTCTTCCCTTTTGACAGTCCACTTTTGTTTTTTAAAGCTAAGTTCTAAATAAAGACCAAAGATAATTCAAGGTCAATCTGACCACATTCTTTTTCAGAGGAATGTATTATTCTTAACATGTTGTGTTTTCAACTTTGTTTTTGCCAGGATGAAGTTCAGACTGAGATGTACGGAACAATCTAGATGACAGTGCAGACTAAGTCAAATAGTAAAGTTGAGCAGTAGCCTGAGATAAGGCATGAATGCACACACGCACTCCTGCACACACAGCACCGTGCTATCCTGAACACAGGTTCCTTCAAGTGCCTACCAAGAGGCAATCTAGGTGTAGCAGTTAATCTCAACTGCTGAGAATTCTGAAAAATGCACCCCAAAACTTTATGCTAACATGTTTTATCAAACACACACAGAGAAAAAAGAGAGAGGAGAAAAAGTGAAACTAAAAATCAAAAAACCCTAAAACCCCTTTATCTCTCTCACAATGGCTCTTGAGCAAGGAATTCATGTAGCAGCGTCAATGGCTGGCTCTTTAATAACTTGGAAATAAAAATTTGTTTTATTATGCATTTCTTAGGTAGTCATGACTACAAAGTTTTCAGTGTAGGTTACCTATGAAACAAGAACTAAACAGAAGATCCAGTAACAAAGAAATATTTCTTTTGTACTAATAAATACTAAGTTCTCAAAGCACAAGTAACTACGTTTTTTTCTTGCCTTGTGGGGAAAGCAAGGCTCTGTGCAAGGAGAGTTCATATCTAACTAACAAAGGGTGATGATGCACAGTTTTTTCCCTACAGTTGAACAGTTAACAATTCACATTACAGGTTATTTCTGGTTGAATCAGTTAGAAGCCAATCACAAGCCACAGCAGCACATGGTGTCAAAGCCACATTCTGGTCACATTTGTTCCATAGTTGCTACTCAGAATCTCACTTGGATTACAGATGTGCACTCTTGGCCTATTAACTCTTAAAAATACCTTCAAAGGGAAAAATGGAAGTTTCTACTGTATAATATTAAATATCGACAACATAATGGTTCTTATTTTTAGGAGTGTGTTCAATAATGAGTTAGGCATGATAGACGTCAGAAAACATGAACTCTTTTTTTTTTCTTTCCACATATTTTTATTGGTATATTCTAGTCATACACAATGATGGGATTTTTTGTTACATGTTCATACATGCACAAAATATAACAATATAATTTGGCCAATATCACACCCCAACACTCCCCACCCCACTCTCCCCTCCTTGGTCCCTTTCCTCTGTATATCTCCCTTTTATTTTCATGATATCCCTGAACCCCTCACCTTTCTTTTCCTTTTTATTTATAGCTTCCACATATGAGAGAAAACATACAATCCTTGACCACCCAAGCTTAGCTTATTTCACTTAACATAATGGTCTCGAGTTCCATCCATTTTCCTGCAAATGACATAATTTCATGTTTCTTTGTGACTGAATAACACTCCATTGTGTATGTGTACCACATTTTCTTTATCCACTCATCTGCTGATGGACACACACCTAGGTTGACTTTATAGTTTAGTTCTTTTGAATTGTGCTTCTTTAAACAAGGGTATGTATGTATCACAGTCATAAAATGACTTTTGTTCTTCAATATAAATAATGAGGAGTGGTGTAACTTGGTCATATGGTGGTTCCATGCCTAGTTTTTTGAGGCGCCTAGATATTGATTTCTATACTGGTTGTACTACAAAACATGAACTCTTAAAAATTCCTGATAAATTAATATTCAGTTCTCTAATTATATCTAACAGATACATATTCTCATGATACATATTCTCTAGTAAGCTATTTTCATCCACAGCATATATAAATATGCAAGCACAGGTGGTAAAAAAGCACTTTACTACCAAAGTACAAATCATAATTGTTGAAAAATAAAAAGAAAAGAAAGATGGAGCAAACATTAAGAAAATAGTGACTCCATGTTCCACATCAAAGTAAAACCAGACGGTATATTTGTGCTAAATGAATGGAAATAATGCATTAGAATATACGTCTTTGTACACCATACTTTCTGATACTGGGTAAAATAAGCAGTCCTCAGTGCTAACGCCACTTTCCTGTACTCATCTCTTTTTTTTCTGCCAAGCAATATTGTATTTTGTGCCTATTATACCAAGATAGTTCTCTAATGTCAGTATTTTCTACCTTTAATGTAATTGTTCAAATTTTATCTCAGGAGAACACAAAGAATGGGAGGAAAAATCACACTGATTGGGTTACAATCACCTTGCCCTCCACAGTAGGAATCAAAGAGCACATTCTAATCAGCCACTGAAACCACCCACTGACACTCATGTTAGACTCATGTAGAGGGGCCAGTTTAGGTAGATTAGCATTAAGGATAAAGGGAAGAATCTCAACTTAAAATGCAAGAATTATCCATCCTACATTTGTGGAGAAGATATAGCCATGTGATTCCTTCCTTAGTCCATTTTAAAAGACATGGAAGTTGAATTACATTAGAAATAACCTACAAAAGTGTACCTGTAGAAAGCTCTACTAAATCAGTGTCTTGGGCACTGATTCTTCTAACTTCCCACTCTACACTGAAAGTCAGATTTTCAAAGGTGTGAACTGTAGTGTTGAATTCTTGGTAGGTTTGGTCAACGCCATAATAATTGGACAAGGGGTGATAACAGCTCAAAAATTTTCTGCAGATTCATGGAAAAAATTTTTAAAAAAAATATATCCCTTTTTTATTTTACAAAAGCCAAGGAAATGAAGCTCTGGGGCCAAGCAAAAATTGCACACTGCTGCTGTATTACCAAATACCAAATAGCCAATGTTCCAGCCAGGGAATGGACATACATGTAGATTCAAGTAAAACACGGATGGAAAGTCGTCTGGTTAGTGTTGTAGACCCACAACACTGGCTGCGTTTCCAACAAACGTTTACATACAACACAATGAAGAGTGAAGCCTAGATAACCTCAGTGCAAATAAGTCAGATCCAAATATGCCAGGGAAGGAAGCCTTTGGCGTTGAGTAGACGGCTCCAATGGACGAGTTCCAACTTGAAATTCAGACTAAGCACATGCATTAAGGCTGGGAGGAGGGGTGCACCGAATGTTGCGAAGGGGCAGGCTGCAAGGTGCCTGCCGAGGGGACCGCGGGCTGCATGGGTGGCGGAGGTGGAGGCGGAGGCGGCTGGACTGGGGTTTGTGTGTTGGGAGACGGAGGCGGTGTGGGCCGTTTGAATTTGTCAGGACTGTTGCTTCTCCGTGGTGAAGGCCTCTGTGGAGAGGACAGGAAGCAGGTCAGCCTGGGGCACCAGCAAGTACCAACACAGCATCACTAGGATCAGAGACTCCTGGAGCACTGAGCTGCAGTCACCAGGAACCAGTGGTCTCCTTCTGTATCCCCACTGGTTCCTGGGGAGGCAGGAAAGCTCAATCAGTGCTTACACCTACACCTACACCTGTGGGAAAGCTAGGCAGTATTACTATAAAACTGGCATTGACCACACTACTGGATGTGGCCCCATCAATGACACAGCTGTAACATTTAAAAACAGCTGTCATGTCTTATATCTTTACTGCCAGTTGTAGGTCCTCAATTTCTTCTATCACCCCTCTCAAACAACTTTTCCATATTCCAAAGGTCACAGCCCAACAAAACAGTCCCTTTTGTACAAAGTCCATCAAACTGAATTTGAAAGAGCTTCATAAATGTCTTAAATGATTTAATAGAGTTTCTCTCTGAAATATTCTTTCATTAGAAATATCCTCAAGTCTTTCCACCTTTCTCAACCTATTAAGTATCTTCCTTTCTCTCTCTCCATCTCTTTCTCTATACCCTCACCTTCTTTCTTCCCCTCTTTCTACCTCTCTTCTGGGGATCAAACTAGGGCCTCATGCATGCTAGCTAGGCAAACACTTTACCACTAGTTACATCCGAAGCCTGCCCCCTCCCCATCCTTTTTTTTTTTTTTTTTTTTGGTACTGGCGATTAAACCTAGGAGCACTTAACCATGGACCCACATCCCCAACCCTATTTTATATTTTTTTAGAGACAGGGTCTCACTGAGTTGATTAGGGCCTTGCTAAGTGCTGAGACTGGGTTTGAACTCACAATCCTCCTGCCTCAGCCTCCTGAGTTGCTCGGTTTATAGGCGTGTACTAACATATGCAGCTTCCCCATCCTTTTTGAGACAGGGTCCCACTAAGTTGTCAAAGCTGGTCTTGAACTTGCAACCTCCTGCTTCAGCCTCCCAAGGGTCTGGGATTATAGATGTTCACCACCATGCTGGTCCTATTAGCTACCTTTTTGACTGCTCTGTTAGAAAACTATGTAGCTAAGTGTACAGGGAAAAAAAAAAACAATTTTCTTTAATGGAGTTAGAATCAGATGCACTTAAGCTTCCTCTAATTCCAGGAGATAAATTTCTTGATAAAACTAGAAACAAGATTAACTTTAGGGAGACTATCAAGGGTTAGTAAACCATGAAGGTGTAGATAATAAATATTTTCCAACATTATGGCAATCAACAGTAATTCTTTATTTTTTCTCGTGCGGTACCTGGGATTAAACCCAGGGATGCTTAACCACAAAACCACATCCCCAAACATTTTCTTTTATATTTTATTAGAAAGAAGGTCTCACTGAGTTGTTCAGGCTGGTTTTGAACTAGCAATCCTCCTGCCTCAGCCTCCTGAATCACAGGTATTATAGACTATAGACGTGCGCCACCATGCCTGGCTAATTATTTAGTGTTTTCAACCATGTAGGTTTTTAAATGCAGACAGTTAACTGAAAATAAAAACAAATGAGAAGGGCAGTGGGCTTACTGAACAGCATGCTGGGTAATGAGGAATATAAAAAAGCAAGCCCTGGAATAGAACAGAAAGCCCAGAAAGAAATGCACACATATGCCATCAACTGATCTATGACAAGCATGCCAAGAACATACATGGGACAGTCTCTTCAAAAAAAGATGTTGGGAAAACTGGATAGCCACATGTGAAATAATACAATTGGACCCTTATAATAAAAATCAACTCAAATGGATTAAAGACTTTAAGACCAGAATCTATAAAAGTCCTAGAAAAAAATAATCAACAGAAAGGGCAACCTACAGAATGGGAGATAATGTCCACAAACCACATATCTGATAAGGGATTATATCTGAAATGTATAAGGAAATTCTATGACTTAGGGGAAAAAAACAAATACAAATAACTGAATTACAAAGGGAACTGGGGGTTGCATAATGTTATAGCACTTTTCTATCATATGAGAAACCTTGGGTTTGATCCCCAGCATCACCACCAGCAAAATTGTAAAAACGAATAAGAAGAAACAGCAGGCTTAAATAGGCATTTCTTCATAGATAAAGATGGTTGATAAGTATGTGAAAAGATGTTCAATGTCACCAATCATCAGAGAAATATAAATCGAAACTACAATGAGGTATCATTTCATACCTGTCAGGATGGCTATTATTATACTATCTTGGCAAGAATATGGAGAAGTTGGAACCCTTATACATGTTGGTGGGAATTTAAAATGTAGCAGCCACTACAAGAAAAAAAAAAAAAGGTATGGAGATGCCCTGTTCCACCAAATGAAAATAAAACTACCCTAGATATAGATACCAGGAATTCCACCTGTGGGTGATCATCTGCAAGAAAGGAAATCAGGATCTCAGAGAGATATTTGTACCCCTGTGTTCCACATAGCATCATTCTCAACAGCCTAGATGTGGAAACAACCTAACTGTCCATCTGTGGATGAGTTCATAAGAAAAAATGTGGTAGACAAATAAAATATTATTCCTTTCAAAAGAAGGAGATCCTACTGTAGGTGACAACATAAATGAACCTGGAACACACTATGCTAAGTGAAATAAAGTCACAGAAAGACAGAAGGATAATAAATGGTTCTACATGTATGTGGAATCTAAAACAGTCAGACGCAGAGACAGAAAGTTGGTTGCCAGCAACTGGAAAGGAAGAGGAGAAAAGGTAGAATTACTGTTCAACAGGCATAAATTTTCTGTTAAGCAAGATGAATAAGCTCCAGAGAGTTGCCATACAACATTGTGCCTACAGTTACAATACTGTATTGTCTGCTTAAAAATTCAAGGGAACTGTTTTCATCTGAAGTGTTTCTATCACAATAAAAAAAAATGTTGAACCAGACACAGTGGCACATGCCTGTAATTTCAGCAACTTGGGAGGATGAGGCTGGAGGATCTCCAGTTCAAGTTCATCCTGAGGAACTTATTGAGACCCTGTCTCAAAATAAAAAAAAAACAAAGGGGGTTGGGGATGTGGCTCAGTGGTTATATGCCCCTGTGTTCAATTACTCATACCAAAAAGAAAAGAAAAAAAAAATGTTGAGCCCTGTCAGGAGTTCAACTGAGGTGAAGGACAGGAATAGGAAGATATAAGAAGACACAAGAATTAAGTGTGTGTGTCGGGGAGGGGGGATAGAGCTAAGAGCTAAAAATCAAATGTGAGAAAAGGGGAAATGTCAAAAGATACCCCAAAAATAAGCAGACCAAATTACTTTGTGTCTGGTGTGTTGTAGGCATAACAGTAAACAGAACTTCTGGAAACTTTATAACCTGAAAATATTCAACGCAGGGAACAAAAAAGCTCTTTATATCTCAGTGTTTCCTGAAAGAAAGTGACATTTCAGGAAAAAACAGTCCACAGCAATGTTTTGCATACTCTTCATCTAGGACCTCAGGATCTTCTCCAAAGTGTTTTAAAAGTACACAAGTCCAGACTCTCCTTACCATTGAACAGAGGTCCACGTAGCTGCATTTTAACATGCATGTGATAATGGGAATTGACTCCAGGGCCTCATGCACGAGGCACCACTGAGTAACACCCCCTATCCAGACCACTGTATTTTGAAAAAGTTCCAAAAGAGATTTTTACCTATTTGCAGCCTAGGAAGCCCTGATCTTTGGAGAGTTAGGGCTGAAGGGTCCACTGGTTTGGGCCATCACTTACTGTTATTCATTCAAATCCAACTCTCTTTACATTTGGAGTTCCCAGAATCTAGCAGGAAAACTACCACAGGCTAGGTTCCATATGAATGAATAAGTAAAAATGGAAACAAAGGAGCCGCTGGGGGAGTGTGGATAGGAACTCCCTATGAATGATTTTGTGCCTGTGATCCTCCATTAGATGCCAAGCCAAGGGAATTCTACTTTGCTTTTCTGAATGACATGAAAGGGAGAAGCAGCTAAGGATGCTTGTCGAACTCTTTTTGCTACCACAATAGTATTCAGCCACCAAGGTTCTTCCCTCAGTTGTCCGACACAGGACTTTGCTGTGCCCTCAACACCTAATGTCAAGGGCTTGCTGTGTTTCTTGGTTTAAATATTAATTACTGATGTTTTCTGTTTGACCTATTTCCATTTCCAATTGTGAATTTTTTATTCCCAGCAAAGTGGAGGTCTGAGGTAAAGCGACCAGTCTTTTGGAGCTAAGCAGTCACTTAATATGATGATGCCTACTGGTATCACAAGGGCATTGTTCAGCTGGGAGAGGGAAGAAGAGATTGTCTTAAATAGGTTTAGTGAATAAAACTCTGATTATACTTCTTATGAAAGTGTTAAATTTAAGAGAAACTCTATAAAAGTGGATCCTTATCCCCAAAAAGAGCTCAAGAGGTTCATTTAAAATTTAAAAAAGAATCTAAAAATCTAACCCATTTTCTAGTATTATGAGGCTAATTTTTCTGAAGAGTTATTATGAGTATAATAACTCTTATATTAAGCCAGTAAACAAGAATATTCAAAAACTATTACCTACCTACAAAAAAAAAAAAAAAATCCGTTCTCTGGCTGCTATAAAGGACTTCTTCATTTGGCTCCAAACTACTTTCTGATGCTCTAGGTCAGTATTCCCAATGTGGGTATAAAAATCTTGCTTGACTAACCCCGAACCAAACAAATAAGAATTTCAGCTGGGTGCAGTGACACACACTTATAATCACAATCACTCAGGAGGCTGAGGCAGGAGAACTACAAGTTCAAACCTAGCCTTGGCAATTTTATGAGAACCTGTCTCAAAATAAAAAATAAAAAGAACTCTGGATGTAAGTCAGTGGTAAGGTCCTCTTGGTTTCATCCTGAATACCGAAAATCTCCAAAGTTAAGGGGAGCTGGTCCCCAGAGCAGCAAGATGAGAAGCAGAGAGATCTTATCACTCCTCCTTCAGACCTGTCTATACCTCCTATACCCACTGCTTGAGGTTGTCTTTGCTTTTCCTGACTCTTCCTTCCCCCAGGGTTCTTTCCCAAGCATCTCCCCCATCCTATGAAGAGGCAAAAAGCCCAGACTTTAAAGCTAAACTGAAAGATTACCCTGGATCCCAACTGTGTCACTTGGCACTGAACAAAAGTGGACAAGTCACTTAATCCCATTATGCTTTAAATTCATCAGCTGGCAAGTGGGACTATGCTACAAAACTATCGTAAGGGTGAAATGAGTTTTCATCATATGTATTGTTTTACCTACTTCCCCAGGTCCTGCTGTGGCTTATAGGCCCTGTTGTCTCTTAGAGGCCCTGTCTTACTAATTTTTGTTTTCCCTTAAATGCTAATGATTAAACATCTCACCCTCTTGCCCAGGAATAGAATAAAATATAAAATCCAAAACAAAACCCAAAACTCTAGGTTGAAATTGCAAACTGCAAAAACTGGCTCACTAAATAGAATATAGTCAGGCATAGCTTAATGAGGAGGGTGCCTTCTGAGAAATGCATCCCTAGGTGACTTCATTATTTTATGAGCATCACAGAGGGTGCATACACAAACTAAGTCAGATATAATGTCTCTTGGCAATACCCTATTATATGCAGTCCATCACTGACAGAAACATCATTATGCTGCACCCATTTCTTCCATTGCTCAAATTGTTCTAGTTCTGGTGTTTGAGAGCTCCTGTATTCACCAGAACACCCCCCCCCCTTCATTTTATTTTTTTGAGCACTTCCTTACCCTATTGTACTACCAGGTGCCCCAGATGTGGAAACATTCATTACTCAAACAGCCCATATTCTTTTCACTGAAGAATGGAATTAGAAACCAAAATCTGGGACCTGGGTATGCTCAATATTAGTGGAAGCAGAGTTATTTTTAGACCTCATTATTATCTACCTCTGATTTAGATGCATCAGAACATGCTAATTAGGAATAATATCCTTTTCTTAGGCACCATAAAATATGGAAGAATTTGAAAAATAATTGTTGAAAAGTAATTCATTTCGTACGTGTAATTCACACATATAAAGCTACATGTAGTCAAGAAGAGGACCTTTCAGAAGTTATTAGATTGGTGTTTTTCAAACCAATTGTGAAAGAGGATGCAAACTACTTTAAAAACCTGGTGAAAATGTAAGCTTTCGAATGTTGGCCACAAACAAGGAGGGAAGAAGAAAAGCCACGATATTTAAAGTGGAAATGAAAAGTATACAGACTTCTACTAAGAAAGTGTTGAGATATTCTTAAGAATATCACTGAGAACCAAAAATTCTTCCAGAAAACAAAACAAAATGAAAAATTATTGTAATATTCCTGTTTTGCTTTTATGCTATTATAGCACCATGATATTACCAGATTAGGATGATTTAAATCTACAGCCAAATAGGAGATAAAAGTCTACTTTTAGGATATAACTTAATATAAAATTTTTTTCTTTTGGTTTTTTTGAAGGAAAAAAAACAGTAGTTATTATTTATTCCATAGTTTAAGGGAAAATCAAATAGCTCATCTAGCCAAGCTAGGCTTACACTTTAATAGTTCCCACTACAGGGACAAAAGCAGAAGAAGTCAAAATTATCCAAATGGAATAAGATTTTCCTGCAGAATATGTTATAATAGAAGTAATATCCTGAATCAAGTTTTGACTTTTTTTTTCTTTTTTCAGTGACTGAAATATTCTTTTTAATCAATTGGAAATTAAATGTCTCTAAAGTTTAATTTAATATCACACATGATATTAAATTATACTTAGTATGAATCAGCATTGCCATCAACTGCCAAGTAACCCTCCATCTTGCCTCTGCCTGATTCATGCCTTCTTTCTACGTCAATAAATCAGTAAGCAGAAAAAAGACCTTTACTGTGGTAATGAAGCCAAGAGCTATTTTGAGAAAACTGTGAGACAAATAGGAAGAGAAGACTTCAGGCCACTGGAGAGAAGGAGAAACAGATTCAGAAACATCCTCTTGGCAAGAACAAGGGACAATGACTATGCCATTATCCACGGGTTAAAGTCCTTTCAGTCTGTGATCAGTCCCTCTTTACCTTGCTTGAAGTCAGACAACATACTGGCCCCAAATAGACACAAGCTGCCACTCTATGTGTCACATATTTCATCTTTTGATTTTCTCCACTTAAAAAAAAAAAAGTCTCAGCAGCCCAGTGCTGGGCTAGATCCCCAAAATCACAAAACCCAGCCAGCCATTCCTTTCTCATGTTCTTATTGATGGCCAATGGAATTACAGCACATTTTCTATCCTATCAACCTTAAGAGGAGGGATCCTTCACTTTAATTATCGTTAACAGAACACATGAAACGCTGTTGCCCTACATGAAAGGTGTTTGTACAAAACCTTCACACTGCTCCACTTGAAAGCAGTCACCTCACTGGATTCCACTGTGAAACTCCTCCTCCATCCCCCTCCCGGACTCCATACACTTTTCCTCTGGTTCTTTTAAAACATGTTTATCAACAACCACAAGAACAACGGTCTCACCATTTCAGTCACAAGCTGCAATTCCTTAGCTGCCACCTGTCTTTCCTCCCCCTCCTCCACCTGCCTCCTGTCCCCTCCTCTCCTTTCTCTTCCTCTCTTGCTGGACTCAATTACTTGTCCTCCTGGCCCAAAAGCCCCACACAGTGCTGGTGCTGAGCCAGATGCCCCGGGGTAGGGTGCTTTCAGGTTCATATGAAACAAGCCTGCTTTGGAGGAGAGGCTTCCAAGAGCAAAGCCAGAAGCAGCCTGCCAGACCCAAGTCCACTGCTTCTTGCCTGGCCAGCCTACTGGGGCCCAGTCCCATTCATGAGTCATGGGAAACATTAGGAGGCAGCTCCTGCTAAGCAGAACACAGGCTGTGGAAACAGCTGTGCCCTGCCTTCTGTCTTACTGGATCTGTGACCCGTAGGTGGGGAACCTCCTAATGGCTGCTTCCCCAAGTTTAATATGGGAAAAATGATACTATAATATAATAAATAAAAATGATATTATAATAATAAAAATGATACTATAAAACTACAATGGTTATTATTCTGAAGATAAAAATTGGAACATGATAAAGGAACCCATAGAAGATTTGTTATAAGGCATCTTGGAAATCTACCTAGGAATTCTGTCCATCCACTGAGATTTAACATCTTAGCCAAAGACAGTCTTCTTAACAGTCTTCTTTTAAGAGGTATTTTGTATTCAAATTTCTTTAAGGGAGGTTAAAAATTTTGAAGAAAAATACCAGCTAGCACTACAACTTTTGTGCTTAGAAATTTCAAGTAAAGATTTACTCTTGACAGAGACTTGTTTTGTTACTTTTGAAAATCCAGCGACTTTGTTCATAAGACTTTTATATGCTAGAAGGGAACATATTCAGGGTTGTCTATTAAACATTCTGGAAATCAATCAATGAGGTAGCTGAAGACATATACTCACCACGTGATATAGACCTACTTGAACTTGGCGGTGTGTAAGGGATTGGGCTGGACACAGTACGAGGTCTTAATCTTTGTGCAGACATCTCGTTAAAATACCTAAGAGGAAAGAAGGGGAAATGATCAGAACTAACTGCATTTAAAATAGTTCTTAAGAGAGCTCCTATGAGAAAGTGTTTGGAGGTCAGTCACATCTCAAAGTCAAAATCTGGAATGTTCAGAGTGATAATGTACCTAGGAGACATTTATAATATAAACTCCCAAGTCACACTACCCCACTATTTGGCAAAGGGTAGGGAATTCAGGATGCTTTTGCTCAGGATTGTGATCTGGTCACAGAGTCTTTGTGATACAACAGAGAGGACAGACTTTTCTCCAGCACACCATGGCTATGAGGAAATTCACCTCCAATGTCCCAAGAATTACAAAGACACCCATGTTTTAATGGGAATATTTGAATTAATATTTGATACTAAAATCAAGGATTTCCCCTGAGATTTATTATATCAAATTAAAGTTTAAAGAGACATACATCCATGAACTGAATGTCACCTCTTTACAAGGCAAGCCATGCTTACCAAATGGCCACAGGCGGACATGAGTATCAAGCACCTTTGGCTGGTCATGCTCGGTCACACTTTGCTGAGTCTGACTTTTTCCTGGATTTGAAAGTCACATCAGACCACAGAATGCTGAAATGTGATTGTGAGGAACATCAGTTTTCACTCTGTGAACCAAGCACAGAGTGCTGAGGAGGAGAAATTTCTGCTTGAGAGACTTCCTGATAAACTATCCTTTGGGAGCCTTTCAGCCCTATGCTTATACACCCTTATCTCAAGGAAGATCTCAGCCCTGATACTCAGTTCACAGGAAGAACTGACGTGGCCACTTCCAAACACGTTTATGGGACTTGAATAAAATCAGGCTCCTTAATTTCACAAGTATGTCGACTACATAGCCATTACTGTTCTCTTTAGAGAGGCTCACCACAGTGACCCTGGGAGGGACCTCTCTTTGTATTCTATATCCAGGTAGGCAGCCAAAACCACCTATTATGGTCTGAAGTGTCATGATTTTTTTTTCTCCCAAATGTGAGACGATCATTTCTAGAAGCACTTATTGGGCAGCTGTACTTATTGGATGGGATAATCTGACCTATGAAAGGTAAAGCAGATCTTCTGGAATGAATACTAGTTCTGGAAAATATATTCATCTGGAATCAGCATTGTCACCACAGTCAGAAGAAACTGTCCCTACAGTATGTGTTATCCAAAATTGGATGGCTACAGGATGCTTTGAAAGGTAACTCAAGGTCTGCTCTGAGACTCAAGGTGGTTAATAAAGTAGGTAATAAGCCATCTAGTTTTCTAGCTGACATTATCGGTCAAAAGATTCTCAGTGGATTTTTAGGGGGGGAAAATGGGAAAATGCCAGAAATAGATCAGTGAAATTTAGAATTATGGATGACAGTTTTGAAATGCAAACTTTTCAGAAAGAACAATGTTCATTCTTTCAAATGAGGACACATACAAATATTTTAAATAGGATAATCTACTGTCCTCTTCTTGTAAATGCCTATTTTCTCATTTATATACTTTCTTACAGAAAATCTTATATTTTTCTTGAAACTGTCCACAGCAAACAGATCAAAATCCTTGGCAGCCCCCGGATCTATTTCGTAACAGGAAGTGCTGATGTGCTTGGTTGAAGTGCTCATATGGCTTGGTTTCAGACATGTTTGGCATCAACACTGCTATTCCTCAGACCCTGCTGTCATATACTGGCTGCCCCAGTAGAGTTGGAGGGGCCCCTGAGGAAGCTCTGTCTCACCTCTCACACTGAGATGTGGTCTAAGGTCCCTAATCCAGAACAGGGAATTTCCTTGCAGAAATAATCTGATTAAGAGAAAAGCTAATCCCCTACCTGCAGGGTTTCTCTGCTAATTAAACAGGGTTGTTGTTGTAGTTGTTGTTGTTGTTGTTTTATAATTTACACTTGTCATTTATCTTAAGAACACTTTCCTCTGAAGTTCAGAGGAGGAGGTAGAAAAGAGACATCAAGATAAGGGATAATAGCTGAACCAGTTCCCCTAGTTGAGCCCATCCATAGGGGCACAATGAGGAGGTTCACCATATTGTCTCAAGCAGGTGAAGGGAATGTGTTAGTTTTATTTTTAAAAGGTAGCTGCAGAAAGACTCAGAAGTTATCCACTGTGCTATGGCAAAGTCCTTGGGATATCAGCCCCCTGCACCTGTCTCCTGCTGGTTCCTTCAACCTACAACAGACATTTGTTTCCTTGGGCTGCCCTACAGCTTGTTTATCCTTCCAAGGGAGTTAAGATATGCCCATGCTTTAAACAGCCTTAACACAGAATTAGACTAAGTCAACAACAAAGGCAAACTTTGCTTCCATTTCTTCCCCACCAAATAATCTTAAAATGAAAAAAAAAAAGTGTTTTCTTCATTTTCTGTTTAAGGTGGCATTCATCATCACTGTTAATTTGAAATGTGTTTAAGCCATCTACTGTTATCATATCTAACAGGATGCAAAGAGAGGTCTCTTAGGGCCTGTTTTGTTTTCTTCTAAGACTCATAGGACATGTGCGCACCTTTTATCATCCATTAATAAGCTGGACTCGCTCTCGGAGAGCTGTCGACAGAGGGCTGCTCTTCTCTCCATTTCCCTCTGCAGCTTCCTCTGCAGCCGCAAGTTCTCTTCCCTCATGCGACGTTCCTCCTCCAGATACTGGGCCATTTTCTCTGAATCTGCAAAGCCAGAGTTCTCAATTAAACCACATTTCACACAATCAGTAGCCAAATCTTAAAAAGGAGACTCTAGTTCCTAGGCAGCAGATAGGGGAATTACTGCCAGACAGTACTTCATGCTCTCATGCACACAAATGAAATCTGTATTTAAAGTTTATTCCAAATATCAAAGTTTACCATTGATTTACAATTAGAGAAACATACAAAAGGCAGTGCTGGGAGGTGGGCATCTTCATTCCCATTCCTTTGCATTCAAAGGAGCTTTAAGTAGAAGAGGAAATGGAATTGTAGCTGAGTCTGGAGGTAGTGGCTTCTCTAAGTTGCTGGAACTGAAGAGAAGGGAGCCCAGTTGGGGATAATGGATTCTGCCACAGGATGCCCTCTAGGTATCAGCTTGGTTGCTTCTCTGCTCCAGACACTGCAGGTGGCCTATGGGGCCTGTCACACTTGTTAGCACAAGTATTGTCCCTGGTAGGGGAAGTGCGTAAAAAAGCACCATGCTACAATAACAGTTAATATTCTTTTTTTATTTAATATTTGTTAGTTATATATGGACACGATATCTGTATTTTATTTATTTATTTTTATGAGGTACTGAGGATTGAACCCAGTGCCTTATGTGTGCTAGGTGAGCACTCTACCACTGAGCCACAACCACAGAACATTCTTTTGATAAAAACAGAAATTGACAGTTAATAAGAAAGTTTTAGAATAATAGTTCAAATAGGCCTTATTTGTGGTGTGCAATGCTGTTACCCTGACTCATGCACAGCCAACCAGATGTTAGTGAAAATCTGTATACTGCTAGCACCCCTTGGGCCTGTGTCTTGCCAATGCTCTATACCTGGTTCTCGGGAGATGCCCCATATAACCAGCCTCCCAGCTGTACATTATCACTGTACACTATACAATATCCCAGGCGGAGCCATTTAGATTCTCTTTCCCAGGATGTGAAATAGGAAACTTACATCTTTATGAGAGCCCAGAATCTCCTTCTGCTAAGTTCCCCTGTCCTTCTGAGGTTATTCTTCATAGGATCCTGTGGCTGTGTCCAATAAAAAGCAAACACCCCTCCCCCTAGTTCTGGTTAACCTCAGACCTATTCTGCTGTTACCAAGTAACCAGAAAAAACTTAATATAAAACTCAGTATCTACCATCTGCTTGCTTCCTTCTTTTTCCCTGTTTTAGTCAATGAACTTAGGAAAAAGTAAAATCCCCATCTATTTCTCTCCTTTGAAAAACAGCTGCAAATTTAGTGACTATGCACATGTCTGACAGCTTCCTATAAGTTACTACTCTGTATTATCGACCAGCCCAAATTTAAGAACAAGGGAGGAGCTTAAATGCTGCATGGACAATTTCTCTCCCACATCTGACTCTACTTGGATTCCCAATGCCCATCAAATTTGTTTCAGTTTTAAGCAACTCTATGAAGGTCTAGTATTTCAGCAAATAACTTTTTATAATAATTGTTTGATGATTTCCAAGAACACATCATTACACAATATATAAAAGCTCTCGAATATCCTCATTTTAGAAATTCAAATAAAAATATCAAATATTAAACACTATTGTGTACCCTAAACACTAAATCCCTCAGTTGTTTTTCAATATAGCCAGAAACCCTGCTGTCTAATCCAGTCTCAAAAATCCCTTTAATTGAAGGCATGCTGGGAAAATATTTACAAAGTGCACTTTTAATAAGAATGATTTAAATTATTTCTTCCCAAATATGAAAGTGTGCAGAATTTTTCACTTAGCTCTACAGTTAAGTATTAGTTAGGCCTCTGGGCATACTGACTGTTTCTGGAACTGCAAGGGTGACTATCAGAGCAAGTTACCTTTTTCTTCCATAAGTAGAAAAGTCTCCCCTGAATTAAAGGTTCATGAGGCTCCTAGAACACTTATTTAAGAGGAAGCATGTCTTTCAAAAAAAAGTCAATTCTTTAACATCTGAGGCATTTGCAGGGAAATACTGAAACATAAACCCATAAGAACGTTACCTAACTGAGGGTGGGTGCTAAATCCCCAGGCCTTTTTAAAAAAATTTATTTATTCATTCATTTTTATTTGGAGACAGGGTCTTTCAGGAAGGAATGAAAGAGGATCTGACAATTCCAAAATTCATTCAGATGCCAGAGGCACAGAAAAGACCCCAGGTCCAACTCCTTAGGATGTCAAGGACCCAGGCACAGAGGGTGGCACCATGTCATTCCTTGGGTGCCCTCTACTGGGCTTTCTTACATGTGTCATGTGCATTTCTTCTCTCCCTAGTCCTTAGGAGCCACAGTTTGTTTTCTCCCAATCTTTAGCTACCTCCCCATATTTAGTCAAAAATACCATCAATTGAGGGTGATTTTTAGACAAATGTAAAAGAGGAGGCCCCCAAAGGATCCTAACCTGGCCTATACATTTTGCATTCCGTTACAATTTGATGGATAAGCAATACAAATTCCCAGACCCCATCTGAGCCAATTAAATTAGAATCCCTGAGCATGAGAGGCCCAGCTACTGCCAGATTAAGATTCCCAGCAGATTCTAATGCTCAATCAGAGCAAAGAACTATTGAGAGACAGGATCACATTCACATGCAGTGGGACTTCCAGGTGGAGGCCATGGCCATATTTGCATTCATAGGAGACGAAAGTTATCAAATCTAAGGGGATGAGGCAGACAGTGAGGAAAAGCTACCATTCATCCTCCCAAGACCAACAGAACCAACTGCAGGCAGCTAAGAGCCACTTGCTGCTTCTTTGGTTCAGCTGTTTTTGTCCTTATACAATCAGAAAAGCACTTATGGATACCTGCACTGGTATCTACAGTCTTTTCAGAGACCAAATCGTGTAACAGGGAGAAAAAAGTGATGGTGAAAAATCCTCCCCAATTTTTTTCCCCAAAAAGTTTCCTTGGAGTGCAACAAAGCAAGTATATAAAAGAGGAAGAAAATGGCAAACTGACAGCACTGCAAAGAGCTCAGAAAGGTGCTCAAAGGTATTTGTCTACCTAACACAGAAAAACTCAAAAACAGACAAATAATAGCTGAGAGATTTTTGATTAACCTCACATTTTCATGGAGTATACTTAGTATATAGCAACCTGGGATACACATCAGAATTACTTGTATTTAACATTCACAAAAATAGAATGTCCCAAACGCTCTACCTTGGTGTAAGTCCAGAACCTCTGTAGTATCAGAATGATGATCTGTGTCCACATGCTAATCCTCAACACTTATTAAAGCCATTACTTTTCATGACAAAAGGGACATTGCAGATGTGATTAAATTAAGGATTTTGAGATGGAGAGATTATCCCAGATCATTAGGGTAGGCCCAACATGACCATAAGAGTCCTGATAAAGGGAGGCAGGGGCCAGGTGTGGTGGTGTGCACCTGTAATTCCACTTGCTCAGGAGATCTAGGCAGGAGGGTTGCAGGTTTGAGGCCAGCCTGAGCAACTTAGAAAGATTCAATCTCAAAATAATTTAAAAAACAGAGAGAACTGGGGAAGTAGTTTAGTGGTAAAGCTCCCCTGGGTTTGATGTACAGTACCACAAAATAAGAAATTTTTTAAAAAATGAAAAAGTAAGAATAAAGGGAAGCAGGGCAATCAGAGTGAAAAGGAAAAGAGACAAGGAAGCAGAGTTGGGAGTGATGCCACGCAGGGAAGGGCCTGGAGCCCAGAAAGGCAGCAGCCTCTAGAGGCTGGAAATGGCAAGACCAAAGCTCCTCTCAGTCTCATCTGGAGCCTCCCCACAGGACTCTGATATTAGCTCAGTGTGATCCATGTCAGACTCCTGGCCTCCAGAGCTATAAGGTAATAAATTTGTGATATTTTGATTGAGGTGATTTGTTCTAGCAGAAGTAGGAATCTTACATACCATACTTTGTAGAGTCTGGAGATGATCTGGATGCACCATCCCAGATGCATCACTGGACTAGAACTTACAGTGAGTCTCCAGAAGAAACAAAGAACCACTAAAATCTCCAATGCACATTCTGTTTGATCCAGGAAAAGCACCTAGGATCTATGCTGAAGGTGTTCTTGCAGAGGCTTCAAACATATATACAGAAATGTTCACTGCAGTTGTTGCCTTAAAAAACATATATAGGGTTTTTTTTTTTTTTTTTTTTTTGCAGGGGCAAGATGGCAGATTGAAGTGAGGCAGCATTACTCCTAGCTCAGCTACTCAGAACTCAAGCAGCAAGAATATTGCTCCTCCCTGAGGCTTAGAGTGAAAAATCCTGAGACTAGAGGGGCACGTCTGCCCTAGCAGAACCAGAGACTGCTTGACTCATTAAGCAGATCTTAAAAAAAAAAAAAAAAATGCCCTGAGTTTTATCAATCGTCCATGGAGAGCGGATGCAGGAGCCATCTTGTGACTGCAGCACAGCAGTGCCAACTGGAACTTGAGACCCAGATCTGTGAGTTCGCGGCTAGTTCCACATCTATATGTCTGAGCCTAGCAAACCCTAACTGAGCCTAACAAATCCATGGAAATCAGAGACAGAGAATTTTGCCCAGGGGAACACAAGCTGGAGAAAATAGAGAGAATCTGCTCTCCCCAACCCTGTGAGTCCTGCGGCTCCTGTGGGCTAACAAGGCCAGCTATAACAAGTGTGAGGGCACTTGCTCCCAATTTGCGCAGCTGACAGGTCCCAGTACACTCCTGGTGTGCCACCCACCACCCACCGTGTTCAGCACCAGCCAGGTCCCTAGAAGCCACCTGTCCTTGGTGCCCACCTGGTCCAGCACCCGCTGAGTCCTAGGCACCCACCAGGTCTGGCACCACCAGTCTGACACCCACCCAAGCCCCTCCAGCCCCCAGTCTAATGCTTTGTCCACTAGGTCCACAGTTCCACCACTGGCCCATAGCCCAGCCTGCTCACCACTCTGCTGCCAGGTCTGCCCAGCCTAGCCCAGCCCACAACTTCACCACCAGCCCACAAGGCCCATTGTCTGGCCCTGATCCACGTGGCCCAGGCCTGCTAGGCCCACCTGACATAACCAGCCACTTTGCCACTTAGCCACAGCCCAGCCTGCCTGGCCCACCACTTCACAGTAGATCTACCTGACCCACACAGCTGCTTCACCACCTGGTCCACCCAGCCCCCAGTCTCCCGATCCCCCATCCCCCGACCTGGCCCACCAATCCAGCTACTAGGCCCACAGTTCTGCTACCAGTCCATAGCCCAGAATGCCAGGCAGCTAAATTCACTGCCAGGCCTGCCTGGCCCTGCCCACAGCTTCACCACCCGACTGCAAGGCCCGTTGCCCAGACCTGTTCCACATGGCCGGGCCAGCTAAGCCCACCAGACATAACCAGCCATTATGCCATCCATCTGCAGCCCAGCCTGTTGGCCCACCAATTCAGACCAAGCATGATTGGCCTAGCTACCGGCTTTCCCACCAGGCCCTCTAGTCTTGCCACTTTCGTGCTTGGCCCACCTGGCCTAGGTTGGCTAGGCCTGTTTAACAAGCCACTACACCACCTGGAACAGCCAGCCACTTTGGTGCCCAGCTGCAGCCCAGCTTGCCTAACATGCCACTTTGCTGCCAGGCCCACCTAGCCTAGCCAGCGGCTTTGCCACCCAGCCCACAGCCTGGCCCACCCACAGCAATCTCCCAAGAAGGGAAGTTGGGAAGTCTTAAAACACAACCTTCAACTCAGTGGGCAACACAATAAAATGGAAGAATTCGACAGCCCATGCACATACTCCCACACTCAGTTCATCCTTCAAGAAGAGACAAAATCAGTTGGGCACAGACAGTGAACACATATGCTCACTGACAATTTTGTTCACCATAGTGGAAACAATACCTTAATATGTTTTCATCAAGATTTTTAACTTTTTTTAAAATCTGTTGTTGTTTGGCTTTGCTTTTGCTTTTTGTTTTTGGTTTTTGTTTTATTTGAATGTGTACTGATCAATTCAAGGGCACCTATGCATATACATGTTTCTCTCTCCTCATTTATAAGGTTTTTATTTATTTATTTTTTTGAAAGTGTTATTTTCCCATGCTCTGTTTTTTGAGGATTAGGATTTTTGATTAGCATATTTTGAATTTGTTTTATATAGTCTTTGGGTCTATCTCCCTTGACTCCTTCTCTCTTTTTTCCATTGCTGACAGCCAAATTCCATTTTCTCTCTCTCCTCCTTTATGTTCTTCTATTTTTTCTTCCCCTTCCTCATTAATATATCCTAAGTTACCACTGCATTCACTTTTTTCACTCTTTGAAATTGCCAATGCTTTTCTACCCTCCTCTGACTTCTACTTTTCTCATACTCAACTCTACAATACCTCTTAATACTAATTGATGTATATAGCAGCTTCCCCTACCACCAAACCACACCAATAATTAATACAGCATAAGACATAGAAAACCCCGGTTGTTTGATCT